GTCAGCTATGGGGTGGTTCCAACTTTTTGGTACACATCAAGAACAGTGCATATAAAAGTTATGTTTGCAATCTACGACTGTAGCACATGTGCTGACAGCCTAAAAGGATGCAGTTCAAATCCATGAGCTGCTTCATGGGAGAAAGAAGCGCAATCTCCTTCTGTGAGTTATTGCTTTGGAAAACCCTCTAGAGGGTCAGCTATGAGTCAGCTTCAACGTGACAGCACGTAACATTAATGTTATGAGTTCAACAAAATCCTGCAAGCTACCAAAGCAGCATCATGACACGGATCTGAGTACATGCTACTGGAAGAATGGCACTGGTAGAAGCAGGGTTGCCACAAAACTTCAATAAATGGAGGAAAATACAGCGTCTACAAAATGAAGCCAGGTATTCCTGTACTTCTGTCTTCTCCACCCTCTGAAGTCTTTTCAGCTCTCATTTCTTCAGTTCGCTTCACTATTCTACATTTAAGAGCATGTTTCAGAATCTCCGCTGACATACATTTAATATTCTTTCTTTCATGCCTTTTTAATGCACTTTGGCTTTATGTATTACAACTTGTCTGGTCTCTGGTGCATCAAATCTATTCTTGAGGAGCTCTCTAAATTCCAGTGAGATATACTTCAGGTTTTACTTTGGTTCTTGTGGACTGGTTTCATTGTCTTCAGCTTTAACTTGAACTTGTATGAGAAACTGGTGGTCTGTTTTACAGTCAGCCCCTGGCCTTGTTCTGACTTGAGCTTCTTCATCACCTTTTCCACAGACATTGTCATTGTCAATTTTATTTCTGTGGACTCCATCTGGTGAGGTCCACACACTGTCATGGCTTATGCTGTTGAAGAGTTATGCAATGAATAAGTCATAAAAAAAAAGACCAACAACAAACCAAATTAAAACTCAATGCCACGAAGCCAGTTCTGACTCGTGGACTCCACCCAACAACGATCTGGTTTAGCTGTACAACTTGCAGAATTCCCTCACGTGGTCTCTGGCACTGTGTCTATCACCAAGACCACATTACCGTACAACTACTGAGTCTTCTTTGTTTCTAACCTTCACAACTGAAAATGAAATCGCCTTATACACACATTCTGAGAAGTGTGATGGGCTTTTTAAACACATTGACAGCTGCTGAGAATGAAGTCCCCAGCTGGGTGTGATCGACAGGGGTTTTCCCACCGACAGAGAATACAGGAGGCCTGAGGCTGCTTAGGGATGCGCTCAGAGGCTCGGAAGCAATTCTGCGCCACGGAGGTCTGGACGCCAGTTCCAGAGGAGGGGGACCGTGGGCTACAGTTTCAGTTCCAAGGTCGATGCTCCTGCCCTGTCCCCTGGTTCCTGCAACAAAATGAGATCTGATCTTCCCTATCGCCCAGTGCTACTCTTGCCTCTCACTAGAGATCAGGACAATGACTGAAGGAGGACAAATCAGTTTCTAAGACAATGACTTAAAAGGGCCTAGAGGACTAAGGGGCAACTACAGGAAAGCCCTGTAATGTCTAGGACTGAGCCAGGCGGGCTGTTGGTTACATTCTTGAGTACCCACCTCACTGGACAGACGGCTGTGCCCTTCATCTTGGCCCTTCAGGGCTACTCTTACCTTCTTCATGTTAGAAGTCCACGGTTCTTGTCAACATAAAACAATCCACTAAAACACCGCTTGCCCTGAATATGCATTCGCAATGAGCTGCCTTCCTTTCAGAGTCTCTCCCAAGTGGATCCCAAGTAAGCACACCGTATTATTAAACCCTCCAGTCCAGCCTGCTTGCTGTTACTGAGCGCCATGTGTGGACCGTGACTCAGAGCTTCCGCATTTCTAGAAAGCACAATTGCTGGGTTCCAACACGTGAGCTAAGCCGGCGTGTTCTTCATGCTTATTCTCACCATTCACCTTCAGCCACCACCAAATAGTGATAGTCCTGACCCGCAGAAGTGACAGGTATGATGGGGGAGATTATGTGACTTTCAACAAGAACCTAGAGGCATCCTTGGGAAAGGCAGAACCCCAACAAAACACACTCAACCTCATACATGTTTCATATACATATTTATAGAGATTTCATGTACAAAGTTACATTCTGAACCCCAGGGATTCCATAATAGAAATAAATACTGAAATAACTACATTGCTAAATGAGCTTTTTTGCTCACGGAAATGAAGCCTCAGCCTCTAACAGACAGTAAGTGGGACACTGGGGTACCCATTTTTCATATTATAGAGGCAAGTGAAGTTTGGGATAAAATTTCCAAGACAAAGAACAAATTTAGGACATAAATGGTTAAAATATATTCAAATACTGAGAAAAGTTTGACAAAATTAATAATAAAAACTTATTTTTTTAAAAGAAATGGAAAAAAAGACATTTAGTGTTACAATATAGCATAACCCTGTTAGGAAAGCATTTAGGATTTCCACATTTACTCCTCTCTCCTCTTACTCTTTCCATATTACAAACTGGGACCAAATGAGGCCCTTTCTCAACATGATCAGTTAAGACAAGTCCGAAACCTGGTTGAGTCCTTTGGTAACCATCATAATACTCACAAGGAAATAAATATTCAGTTCCACAGCATTTGCAAGACACACGTTCTTTACAACAGTTAATATTATGAGATATTTGTCTTGTTTTGTTACTAAGGCAGCCTATGTTAAAGGGTCTGTTCTCAAATACAGGAAGACCTTTACAAGAAATGCACGCCACAGCAGCTGCGAAGCTGCATTTTAACCTTTCCTATGCAAACACACTTAATCTGCGAAGTCATGTGCTGCATTTGTTGTGCTCAAAATGTTTTACTCCATAAAGTGTAGCAATTAAGATATTCATTCCTATTTCAAAAGTTTAAATGCACATGAGTTAGAGAAAACACTCTTAAAACTGAGTTCGGAAAGAGAACAGTCTCCCTTTGCCTCACAGAGATTTTGAGCCTGCATTTAACAGTAGTACTGAGCTGATGCACATACCATTGCCCTTTTTGTAGCTTGGCAATGGTCAAATAGTGGCAATTTGATATGGTTCAGCCCCACACATAACCCAAGCATAACAAAATAACAATCTTTGTGTATCCCTTCTTTCTTCCTATAAGAGTACTTTTTAATTTTTTGTTTAATTTTTTTTTTT